TAGAAATACAGAGAATATAATAAGTTATAATTTCTTTATTAACTGTGGTCAATTGTAAAACTGTGAATGACTGTGAACACAGACATCCTGCTTATTCCTACAAGGCACATCTACACTGACTGCTTAGGTTGGTGTGTGTATGGATCAGCCCCATGGCAGCTAAATGCCACATGTGACTGACATGGCTTAATCCATTACAAGGCAACCTTAACGTAGCCTTGCCCCAGGTTAAACTAGCCAGAATTTGGGTTCTTCCCTGACCTGGGGGGCAGTTCAGATAGCTAAGCTCATTCCTAACTGGAGGCAGCAACCCTGGAGACCTGGGGATGTGAGATTACAGTATCATGTCTCTTCTTGTGGGCATTGGCTGTTGTCAGCCAAAGTTCCTGGTTGTTGAATGAGATGGGAGGGGAAAGGGAGACTTTCCATTTGCTACTCCCACCTTCTTAGTGACGTGGCAATCTAGGTGACATCAGCCGGACTTCCTACATTATAGGTTATAAAGGAGTTTCTTTTTATTCCTGAGCAGCCATTTCTGGCTTGTTTGATAGCATCGTTAATGTTGGGGTTCTATGAAAGGCATAGGATGCATTGATACTCAGTCCCCAATTTAGGTATGTTTATTTTGGCAAGTAAGGCCTGTCTCAGTTCCCCTGCTTTAAGCAGCATACTTCCAGAAAAAGATGTGAATGGTATAGTTTTGCCAGCTTTTCTGTGCCTTAATAAAGCAGAATATATAGCACAGAAGCTGTTATTTTCCCTACTGTGCACAGCTCTTGGCTCACACAGAGCTTCCAGCACTAATGATTGTTGCTATGTTTAAGTGGCACCTTTTTCTTGCTATGGGATCTTTGTCATAATGTATAATAGAAATAAAATATAATATTCAGTAAGTCATAAAACCCCACTATTAGGAAAACTGTGAATATGAAATGCGAGAGAAAATACAGTGTGTTTGTCTTTGCTGCTTCATGACTGAATTGTCCCTCAGACTGTGGAGACCTTGCTCATGAGTACATTTTTTTCTGTCAACTAGTGAAGAATCTGGTTGTTTCACAGCATGATATGGTCTTATCTGCTGTCATAAATATCCACGTATTTTGCATAGTAGAAGCCTATGTAGATAAGAGCAAGGTTTGAGAACTGGCCTGGAATAGTTTGTCAAGAATGTTAGTCAAGAATGATGCCAAGTCAAAGAGAAATTGAATGCAATGAATCATAGTGGGAGGTGCAGCTCAGATGGCATTAGATATAACTTCCAGAGTGACATAACTGCAAGCTAGTGTCCTTTTAATCTCATTGTATGTGGCTAGCCCTCAGGCAACACAGGTAGTACAAGTGAAGACTCTATTTGTATGACTTGTATTGTTCAATGATGGCCTAATCACCTTAAAGGTATCCAACCCCATCTAATCATGAAATCTTAATACCGTCAGTTCTTACAAATACTTAGATGGGAGACCACCGATGAATACCAGGTGCTGTGGGCTATATTTCAGAGAAAATGAGGTGAAAAAAATCACATCTTTTACTTGTCTAAGGCCCTTCTACACTACCCTATACCCCAGGATCTGGTCCCTAATTATCTGATGTGATAATTAGGGATTATATGAGTCTACACTACCACATACTCTGGGAAAAGCAGATAATCTGGGATCAGATCCTTGGGTGTAGGGCAGTGGAGAAGGGGCCTAAGAAAACCCTGTGAAATCCAAGGAGTGACCAGACATCATCAAGAAGCACGCATGCACACACATATTGAATCCTTCCCTTGGTTTTTTTAATCTCTCCTCCTACTCCTTTGATTTTGCCACCTTACCTTACCTTATTTATTACACTCTGATAGACTTATTAGTTGGTTTAGGTATGAATGGGGGACTGAATTACTCTTGCAAGGAAGGTCGCTGCTTAAATTTATGAGGGTCTCTGTTGTCACCATTATTGTATCTCTCATTGGCTCCTCTGATCAGAGTTTGCAAAAGGTGACTTTTGTGGGGCTTGGTCTAGACGAGCCCTGCTTGTTAGGGGTTAGGGGCACAAGACCCCATGAAAGTGGAAAAACCTCAAATACCACCCCCCCCAACACACACACTGTTTTTTTATCTTGAAAAAACACCACTGTGGAAATCTCTAAATTCTTTAGTGTGAGTGCAATATATTGGAAAACCAAACAATTCTTACAGAGAACATGTTCATCAACTCTGTGAATAATCAGATCCTCAGAATTGAAGACTGCAAATGTGAGAGACCAATTATATTTTTAATATTGGAAGTGGATTAGTAAGAACAGATTATACTTGCTGTTTACATTGTAGCAAAAAAGAAGGGAATTTTAAGGGTAGTCAATATATACTGTATATGGAAATAGTAACAAACTATGAAGTTGTGTACCATCTCCCAAATGAAGAGGCATTATTTGGCTGGCATGTGCCTATTCCTTCCAGAGAGAGATCAGAAGAGCATCCTTGGAATTCAACCCTTGATGTGTGGGATCATTTTCACAGTAAAGTGATACTTGACATATTGTGTGTCACAGTATTTCTGCAGTGTAAACACCATTGTCACTGTATTTAACACTTGGCTTAAGGGTGTATGTGAAAAAGTGGCATGTCAGAAATGCATGTGTGCAAAATGCTTCTGCATTTTTTGACTGGCATACAGCTGATTTTCAGGACAGTGATGCAGTACCTCATTATGTCCTTAAAGTGTCTGTCTCGTGTAGACTGAGTGCTTTGGATGAATTTTTTAAAAATACTCAGCTGTACATAAGGACATAAATTCTAAATTATAGGTGAAGAACAGTAAAGTCTATTGCTCGTATTGTTTGCACAAGCATTCTGGAATTGTATTTCCTACAAAGCCTACCTGTGTATAATAATGATATTATTTGCTTGTCATAATTATATTTATTTATAATCTATATTTTGCCCTGGTGGCACAGTGGGTTAAAGTGCCAAGCTGCTGAACTTGCTGACTGAAAGGTCGCAGGTTCGAAAACAGCTCCTGCTGTTAGGCCCAGCTCCTGCCAACCTAGCAGTTCAAAAACATGCAAATGTGAGTAGATCTGTAGGTACCGCTTCGGTAGGAAGGTAAGGGTGCTCCATGCAATCATACTGGCCACATGACCTTGAAGGTGTCTCTGGACAACACCGGCTCATCGGTTTAGAAATGGAGATGAGCATCACCCGACTGGACTTAACTTAAGTGGATTGGACTTAATGTCAGGGGAAAACCTTTACCTTTTATATTTTGTATTCCAGTCTTGGGACTATTTGAATACAGCATACATAATTTTCCAAACAGCTAAATATCTCATGACCCTGTATTTGCTGTAATTATAAGTTGGCTTGACGATAATATTCTTATTCATGGTACACTAGTGTGGATTCCTCTTTATTTCAGTTTTTAAAGTACTAAATATTCAGAGTTGCTTATTCTGGATGTATTGGGAAAAATAGGATTACAGGAATCAAAATTAATCAGTCCACAATTGAAACAGTTCCGTATTTATCAAAAATACTTCTGTTTTAAAATTGCATCAGATCTTGTTTGCAGCAAGCCAGTGTTTTCCTCTTAATGTATATGCTTGTCAGAGACAACTTTGGGGGGGGGGGGTCTTTTTATCATTGTAGTCAGATGTATACATTCTGAGTTGGCCCCAGAACTTGGAAAATGTCATTGTTACTACAACTCACACTGATGTAGAACGGCCATGATGGTGGAGAGATTCTGGTTCATTCCAAAAACCAATTCAAGAGCAAAAATAAAGTTTTCTTATATAAATACAGACCTATAAACACAGATTTCTTTTTCCAAGTGGCTTAATTTTTTTTTTATTACAACTCCTAGAATAACCTAGCTGATTAATGTTCCAGTCTCAATTTACAGGCTTATGCCATTCATGTCACAGTGTGCTCTGCAAAATAGTTCTAATCAGAGACATGCAGTGGAAATTTTCTGGGAAATCTTCTGATGCCATATGTTTCCAGAAAGACTCCCCCCTCCCACCCCACTCTCTCTTTATACACACACACATATCTGTATTCTCTATAGTTGTCTGGACTGTTGTACCTGGACTGTTGGGTGAGTGAGTGAATGAAGATAGTAGAAATATCTCAACAAAAGCAAGAAAAACTTGGCAAAAGTGATATCAGTACAGCTCCCCCCTTTTTTTGTTAATGTAAGCCAATATCTTGGTTTTATTACAAATATTATTATAAAGTAGTTTCCATATAATGTGATTAATATGTTTGCATCTAATGTTTGAATGTATCTCCCTCTATGAACCACCATAGAGTTTAAGATCATCTAGGGAAGCCCTGTTCTTAGTCCCGCCTCCCTCGCAGGTGCAATTGGTGGAGATGAGAGATAGGGCCTTCTCAGTGGTGGCCCCCCAGCTGTGGAACTCCCTCCTCAGGGATATTAGATCAATCCCTTCCTCCTGAACTTCCACAAGAGAGTGAAAAGGTGGCTTTGTGACCAATTTTTTAGAGAACGTGTGCAATAGATAGACTTGGAACAATGTGCAATGACCATTGGAATGACCCAGATTATGCTCGTGGATTACATGTTTAACTATGAATGTATTGTTTTAAAATGTTTTGATTGTGTTTGATTTACTTTCAAATCCTATTTTAATATTTATTTAAGTGTACATTGTGTTTTAAAGCATGTAATTGTTGCCTGTATGTAAAGCCGCATTGAGTCCCCTCCGGGGTGAGAAAGATGAGATAGAAATGTTTCAAATAAATAAATAAATAAATAATGTTTAGCCAAATGTGCCTAAATCAGATAATATTATTTACAGCACTGGGAAATCTTCCAGTTTCACTTTGGGGGGGGGGGGGAGCCACATTACTGGTTCTAATTCAGGAAGGTTCATAAACTATATTATTTTACTGCATACAGTACCATCCATAATGTAGCTCCAATATGATTGCAGAGCATTCAATCTTAGTTCTAAAATCCATGTCGTTTTCCCCTTTCTTTCTTTTTTCCAGATGAACGTTCCCATGATTCTCCAGCCCCAGCAGAAGCTCAGGCACAGGCTGGGGTGGAAGCTGGTGGAAGAGGGAGCCGATGCTGCTGGAAATGCTCTGTCACTCAACTTAAGAAATTTTTCTGGGGTGTAGTGGTAGTGCTTGGTGTCTGTTCATCGTGGTCAATTTCAACCCAACTAGCAAAACTGACCTTTAGAAAATTTGATGCACCCTTCACTTTGACCTGGTTTGCAACAAACTGGAACTTTTTATTCTTTCCTTTGTATTACATTGGACATCTTTGGAAGTCAGCTGTAAAACAGTATCCACATCAAAGATATAGGTAAGGGAGGTTCATAATTTCAGTGATGTGTCATATGTTCTTTTCTTGGGGCTTTATTCAATTCTCCTTCAGGCTATTCCAAAATATGACCAGAAATTGAGATAAACATGATGTAGGAATGGGGGGAAGAAAAGATTCAAAAGACTAGAAAGAGAAATAGCAAATGAATACATGGATAATGAATTAATGCAAATTAGTTTGCACTAGTACTTTTTCTGCATTATTGCTGTTTAAAAGAAACCATACTACAAACACAGGGTGCACTAACAAATACTTTATAGTATGTTGTATTTCTAGCCAGCATTCAAGAAGGTCAGACTGCAATTGCAAAACACAGGAAATATGAGTTGAGAATATGAGTTGAACTTTGCTAATTTAATATAAATAGGGTTGCCTGGGTCGACCACCCTGAGCTGTATTGCATGTTCTTTTAAAAGTTTAATCACTAGGCAGCCACAAGCAATACAAAGCAAAAGGTAAGATTTTATCCTTATAGGAAATCTCATTGAAAAATTGCACTACTTTAATAGCCTGCCTTGAGATTTGTTATGAAAGTATTTGCTAAAAGATTTGTTTTTCCTAGCAGATCAAAAATTGTTTCTGAAAAGAAAAAAGGGATAGAAAATCAATTTAAGGATTAGGAAAATGTTAAGGAGCTGCTAGTTGTGTTTGAATGTTAGCATTCCTATGCGTTAATCTATGTGACTGTAGATAAATTAACTGGCCATTATGGTCTAGTTTCCACATTATATAGCGAAGTATCTGTCACATTGGGAGTATCAGTGCCACACGCAAGCCTGAACTTACTATTGATATTTTGTGTTCTAAGAGTAGATTGGATGTCTTCCACAGTGTTCACCTTTTACCTTCCTAGACTATTGAAAGGTCCATCGCTCCATGTCCCAAGTGCCAAAAAACTGAACTTCTGTTCCTATTGCCATAGCTGATTGAGAATCCACCTGGAATCCACTGTAAGCCTACACCTTTGAATCCTTAGAACAGTGGTTCTCCATCTGGGCGTCCCCAGGTGTTTCGGCCTACAACTCCCAGAAATCCCAGCCAGTTTTCCAGAACAAAACATCTGGGGACCCACAGGTTGAGAACCACTGCCTTAGAGTTTCAAAAAAAAATCTTTGTGGGAAATTTTTATCTATTGAACAATCTTTATAGTTTGCAAACATTTTAAATTACGTTGTAATGGCTTTGTATTGACCGTCCTAGCAGGCTACAAGCTGGTGGTAGACGTAACTTCAATCTGTAGGGTTGATCTTTTTGCCACCAGCCCATGTGGGTACCTCCAAATTAGGTCTTTCACATGTTACTTTTTGGAATAAAAGTCTTGAGCAGGGCTATTGAAGATAGCATGACTTGGAACATATTCTTTACATACCTCAGAGCTGTTTCAGAGTTGGATACTCTGGACTGGCACCAAACTAGTCCAGTGGCTGGCAGGTGTAAACACTGCATGACACTGAGCCAGCCTAGCAGCTGCATGAAGTCTGCATGGGACTGAACCTAGTTTGGCATCACCAGATCACCAACCTTACTATCCCCTCTTGTCCTTGACTTAGCAGTGATCACCAGTCATGACACTACTGGTGGTCATTTCTCATTGCATCTACTCATGCTGGCTGGAACACCAGAGGAATACTGGATGCGGGAGGGGAAGATGAATGGCTCTTTCTTGTCTCTTCTCAGATCATGTTGGCACTAAGACCAACATCAGTAGACACAACAAGCAATAACCACTAGCAGTTTCATATCTGATGGTTGTGGCTAAGCCAAGGACAAAAAGGGGATGATAAGGGTGGTGATCTGATAGAGCTTATGTTGGCCACCTGAGCCCAGGGGTGACAGTGTGAACAGTTGGGGCCAGTTCTGTCCAACTATTTACACTGCCAATGTTCTGGAGCACCCTACAACTTTTGTAAACACAGGACAGGAGATTGTTACATTGTCTTGGCAGATGTATAGGCAAATGCCCCCCCCCCCAATTTGGGCTTTTTGAGATCTCCTTCATAGAATCACCATAAGTCAAAGTCAGGTTGAAGGTAGCTGACAATAATAAAATTCCTCCAGCATAGGGATTGTCATACAAACACCCCCAAAATTTTCAAGCTCTGCTCTACACTTATTTTGAGAAGTCAATTAAGCATTCTTCTAATATGTTTTAGCTTTCAGAACTGAAAAAGGTTTCTATGTCAGAAAACCATAATCTAGGAAATCCCTGATTTAGGACCCTAGTTTATATTCGTCTGTAAAGCTATTTTGCATTACATTCAGAATGCCAAAATATTCCAAATTAAGGGGCAGATCTATAATCCAGTACTTCAGGCAAAATCAAATGAAGACAGCACTGCTGTCCAAAATTCTTGACAGACTCTACAGAAACATAGGCTCCCTTGTTCAGTGAACAAAACTACATGAATGGCAAAAAGTTGCATTGATCCTTGAAGTGAAAAGCTCCTTCATATCCATAGTTGGATAACAATATCGGACAAAAAAATCTTCCTACCTTTTAAGAAATCTTAAATACATGAAATGTCTTCAATCCTCTTAATTGTGATTAGATGATGGGACCTATGAGATCATAGCTGGGAAAGAATTTATTTGAACAAGGTTCTTATTTATTTTTAATGTTCTGAGTGCATGAGTCAGTGCATTACAGTGCTGCAATGCCTGGTTTTACATTCTACTCACTGATGCACCCGCTTGCGATTTGGACTCATTGGAAGAACCAGATCTGAGAGCATTGTTTTCTGGTAGATGGGAACAATTTCAGCATGAAATTGAAACAGTTTCTCTTCTATAACTTCTTAAAAATTCAGTTTCAAGGAACCACACTGATTTTATTTGGGGACAGCCATGGCCTCTGAACAATTACCAAAGAATTTTCAAAACTAATTTAAACTCTTTAAATAAAACATCTTTCTCCTTATGAGCTGCATTACCATGATATATTAACATCATTTTATGGAAGTATTTTTCTTGGTATCTTGAAAGCGACCAATACATTAATTGACTATATGACTTCTGGATGTGATCATGTGGCCATGTTAATAAATTCCTTAATTCAGGATTATTTGGCTACTTACAACTTTGAATCGAACTTGGATGTGGCCATATTATTGTTAATAATGTTTTTAATTGCCCATCTATATTTAATGTTTTAATCAATGTTTTAATTGTGTTTTATTGCTATGTTGTGTGATGGCATCAAATTATTGCTGGTGTAAGCCCCCCTGAGTCCCCCCCTCGGGGGTTGAGAAGGATGGGGTACAAATGTTGAAAATAAATAATAAATAAATACTTGCTTATTTTAGCTTGCATCAGGTTGGGAGGAGACTGACCTAAGTTTTGAGTATAAAATGGCATAAATACCAATCTTATATTAATAACAATCTAACAAAATTCAGAAGAGACGGCAGAGAGGAGGCATGATGGCCATGTATAAATATGTGAGGGGAAGTCATAGGGAGGAGGGAGCAAGCTTGTTTTCTGCTGTCCTGGAGACTAGGACACGGAACAATGGCTTCAAACTACAAGAAAGGAGATTCCACATGAACATTAGGAAGAACTTCCTGACTGTGGGAGCTGTTCAGCAGTGGAACTCTCTGCCCCGGAGTGTGGAGGAGGCTCCTTCTTTGGATGCTCTTAAACAGAGGCTGAATGGCCATCTGTCAGGGGTGCTATGAATGCGATTTTCCTGCTTCTTGGCAGGAAGTTGGACTGGATGGCTCACGGGGTCTCTTCCAACTCTATTATTCTATTCTGTTCTGTTCTGTTCTGTTCTGTTCTGTTCTATTCTACAGATACTGGCTCCCCCCGCAACCCCTGGCCCAGATTTCATTGTGTGTTTAAATAAGTGTAAACCTGCAGTAAACTCTCTAAACCCAATTATTCTGACACTGGGGGATTATGCCTTTCTACTTGAAAAGACCATCCTGCCTAACAGCATTGTAATTGTAGTGAAGTAAATCTCTGGCTTATAAAAGGGTGCCTTGTTCTTTATGCAAGCTAATTAATAAAGCTTTGTAAGCCTTTATTTAATTCTTATTTTAAAAGTATCTTCTTTAATAGATTAGACATGATACCAATCTCTACAGTGTGTGTTTTGTTCTAAAAATTTTAAGTAAGACAGACCATAGCTCTAACAGCCACCACAACTAGTATAAACACTTGGACTGGATGAATGGTTCTATGTATTTCTTAAGGCTAAATAAATAAATACTGTACCGCTATGCTCACATGATAGATGGATTCAATTTCAAACAGAATTAAGAAAAATTGAAAAATAATTTCGAGGCCTTGAGAGTCACAAAAACAGCCCTGGTAGTTGGACTACTTTCCCACCACTGCTAGAAAGTGTATTGTATTAGTCTGAACACAAGAGCAAGGAAGTTGTTTCTACAAAACTGAGGACTTCTTGTAGCATAAGAATCTTTGCACCAGAACCCAGTTCAACAGAGTATTCTATAGTTGTGATAAAAATCTTGTGGACGTAACTGTCTTTGTTTATGACTCTGAAAAGGGTATTATTTTACCAATTCTCTGGGGGTTCAAGCAGAATGTTTCCTTGTTGCTCTTATTAAAAGTAATTGTGTACTTTCCAAAACCTAGAGCTGTGTACTTTCCTAAACCTAGAGAATGATGTAAAGGAGGTCACTTTACAATGAGGGTTGCAAAGACCATGTTGAGTCCAATTGTGTAGTTGTGGATCTGTAATTAACAATTAGAGTCACAACCATCCCCTGATTATCTGTCCCTGAAGAAGATAGGATTAATTGCACGAACTCGTGCTACTCAGCCATTAGTGTGAAGTGCTGACATAAAAATTCTGAGATGTGGGATAATAGACATAAACAATCTTTAATCCAGTGGATAAGAGTCTTGAAAAATAAATAATTGAATGCTCTTGAGATAAAAGTACATGTTTCAATGGACTTTGGCATACAAGAATTCTATTTCTGGCTTGTTGTGTTTTTAGAGCTAGCCAGTAT